CCTTGGCAGTCTCAGTTATATTAAAGTTTTTCTTCATTACCCATTCAAGCCGTCTCCAGCCATTATTAGCCAATGATATGATGAATTTGAGCATAAATTCCATTGAATGTAGTTCATTCTTTTACACATAAACCAAGGACCCCAGTGGGTCCAAGAGTAGTTAGATAATAACCTGTATACATCGCATGACGTATTTCAATTGAAATATTTCATTCCCGCCCACTTTTGTTCTGCGATAACTTTGTTGTGTACCTTCTACATTAAATTTGAATGAGCTTAATGGATTATACCTTGTATCTACTTATTTTTTTACACTTCGTACTCTCCGACTTAATTACTGTTATCGTAAATGATGTTAACTGCATCAATATTATTATTCTTTATTTATTTTCCTGTACTTTAATCACGGCAAATTTGTAAAAGTTGATTATACAGTATATCCTTTTAATTTACACGCAATACCATATAAATTAATCAATAAAAGAAATATTCAAATTATCCGAAATAAATATTAGAATTCAGGCAGCTTAACACCACAATTTTTTATATGTATAAATACATATACAATTGATTATTACTTTCCCTCCATATATAGATATAAAAATGGGCCCAATAGACTTATTATTTAGGAAACCCCACTAATTATAGTTGAGTTTTAATTCAGTTCGGGGAAGAAACATGAGATACAGACTAGTTTATTAGCCTAATTTTCAATAAGAGAAAGGAAAGATAAGTCGATCTATTATGTTTCTTTATTATTCTTTAGACTAATCAAAATAGAAGAAAAATTCATCCGTAAATTTACGAAGCTGTTAATAATTAAATGCAAATTGATTTTTAGTTCTCTACTCTATATTATAAGTTATATTATAAAGCCTCCCCTTCCAGTGGCTCAACGGAAAGTGTTATGGCTTATAACGCTCAAAACCTGATTTCGATACCCGTGGTGGGCAAAGCACAAATAGCCCATTATGTAGTTCTGTGCTTAAATAAAAATAAACATTTTATGAACATAATTAATTTTGTATCTATTCCAATCATTATTCTTTCAAAGACTGGTGTAATAACTATTCAAATCTAATTCAATTTCTATATTTAATTTCATCTAATGAATTTTCTTACTCATTCTGTATTAAATATAATTTATCTTATGTCTGCCTGACCGCAATAAACATTCTACTGAATGCTAGCCTAAATATACTCATTATAAAATAGTACACACCATTACACATGTATATAGGTTTAGCAGGGCTAGATAAATCTGAAAATAAACTACATCTGCCGTCTCTACTATATAAATAAATTTTCCGTTCTTAGATATTATAAAACGCGCTGTCAATAGAAACTAGAGTATTATAATAATAATACAATAATAACATTTTACATTATTTAATAATAGTCATTGATAAGAGACTAATTAATAAATCTCGTGGTTTATCACAAGTATTGTAAATCACATAAAAGTTTATAAAATTATTATTGTTTTCTATGTTATGTAAAATAACAATTTCTGTGAATTAACACTGGAGACTCATTTTAGAAAGACTATATTTTGATCATTACAAGCAATTTATATGCTGTTGTTTGGACTATTTCTAAACACTTTGAATGATACATGTACACTGACCCGTTTTCTACTTGTTTTTTTTTTTATTTTCTAATTTTATTAATACAGTAATATCAAATTTGAACGCAGAAAATTTACTAACATCAAAAATAGGAATTCTTATTTCATCGTCTGTACGACAAAAGTTGGACAGCAAAGTCCCCCCCCCCTTTCATAATGGTATAAACAAACATGGTATTAAAGTATGCATCAAAATGTGTATACAGTAGAGAGTAGTTTTAAGTACTGTTTTTCCAACTGATTCTATATATGATAGGATATAATGCAGTTTTACATTCTAATGTGTATTAAGTCGTGTGCCCTGTTAGTTGATATCCGTTGTTAATATAAAGGAATGCCTGTTCAGATGTTTCTGTCATTTTTAGGTACTGTACGTAGAGAAACCAGATAATATTCAATTTGACTTATTTGTATCATATTTGACTCGAAATGTGCAGAACGCGGGATCCCAACCTGTCACCGAACATGCTGGCCCTTTCGGCTGTGGGGCGTTATAATGTCGCGATTAATCCCACTATTCATTGGTAAAAAGAATCCCAAGAGTTGGCGGTTGGTGATGTCAACTAGGTGTCTTCCCTCTAGTCTATTATGGATAGCCTTTTACACGAAAATTCAACACTAACATTTGTATTGTTCCACAGCTAATATAAATGCCAATATTTTTATTTGAAATAAGAAAATTGTATCCACTGCGCTACATTTGGTCTTGACGTCAAATAACCTTGAAAAACAAAGAACATTTCATTCGAGATTTAGAAGACAACAGCATTAACGATAACTACTATTTAGGAAGGACATGACGTCATAACGGAAAACTATGCATCGCCAACGTTCAGGGGACAAGAGTTTTTGATGTACATTTAAAACATCTGAATTGAAAAAAAAACCCTATAAATATTATTAACGACCCTGGAACACTTTAATTAATATAATTTCTGATAAAAAGCAAATAATTTTACTCATTATAAAAATTTACTGTGAATAGTAATAATCATTTTATCTGCCAATAATGGATTATTCAATTTGATATATTTAATGAATCATTCTCATTAATACTAAAAATCTGATCAGAACTGAATATATAAAATATACCTCGTGAAAGTTATAAGTTTGCGAAATCGCAGCCGAAAGCAGTAAAAATGTAAATAACCTACACTGCATTTTCGTACACCACAAATAGTTCCAGTTCTGACTTAGCGAACGAAATCATGGACACCACTCAAATAGTTTTCTGAGACTGCAGTAATGACGTCATTTATCTAACTAACCAATCACAGCTAGAAGGGAGGGCGTAAAATAATGTTATAAATTCCCAAGAACCAGCGTTAGATCATACACGTCAGTTCGTTGAGAGTAACGTTACTCAGCTCGCTACGAACGTCTTATCACACTATTTATAGTTTTTCTGTAAATAGAAGTCTATTCAGCCAAAATGGTAAGTACTACTATTCGTTTTGATTTTTTTCAAAAATATGCTAACAACAAACTTCAGATGGCAGATTTAAAAAATAAATAAACTTGTATCATTGTTTAAAGTTAAATTGTTATTAATTAGATTTACTTAAAATTTAAAATTAAAGCGTCTCGGTTATCGATTGTTCTAAGAGTTATAATACATCGTTTTATAGATAATACGAGTTATATAATCTATATTACATTTAATTTCGTAGCTGTATTATAAGTTTTTAAATTATAGTTCTCAAGTATAGTGTAATCTTTTTTGTTATGATTAATACTAATAGTATCATGATGACGGTTGAACCCACAGGCTTAGTGGACTGTGGTCCTTCTATCTCGTAAAAACATAAACTGAACCTCGGACGATATTAGATATTTCGATAGCTTCATCAGGAGATATCGATTTTACACCAGTTCACTAATCCACTGACGAGGCTGTAATAGCGAAATATTGGGTTAATAAAGTTACATTCTGGAGATATAGGTCGCTGTTTCATTTACGTTTATAAAAATGTCTGTATCATTATGTATAAAATAACGCACATTCAAATTTACTAGATGATGAAAAAAAAGAGTAAAGTAAGTGCTCCACATCTAATGAAACTGATGCAGGATACAAAACTACTGGAGGGTTCTTGGCAGAAGCGAGATGCGCGAGCACTGACGCATCAGCTAGATCGAACGGTTGCGAGAGTGATGACCTCCTCTAGCCCCTTAACTCAGAAACTAGTTCTGACCATATATGGTATGTTCGCTAATGCATAGCCGTCGGCATTGTTATGCATGCAAGCTACGTGGCTTGTCTACGGCCGGTTTTTATTCTGTGAATGTAATCCAGGGCGTAGTGTGTAACCACTTCCTGTTATCTGGAAATATGTTCTTTCTGAGCATGCCCAGCACCACAGATCCGACTTGATACTAGAAACACTGTAAATCCCTTCCGAATTAATAGAGAAAAAACAAGGATAATCTAAATCATAATAAAACATGTGTTGCTTGCCCCCTGCGGACTTACGACGCTAGAAATCGGGTTTCGATATTTGTGGTGGGAAGAGCACAGATAACCCATTGTGCAGATTTGTGCTTAACTAACACATAACAACAACATGTTGCTTATTCTTATTGAAATACCACATCACACTAAAAATAGCCTTTTTTATTTGTTTTGACTTAATTTACAGACCAATTCGAAATTGTCACAGTACTGTACCATGCTGCTAGAGTTCAATACGTTTAGTTTAATTGTCACAGTACTGTACCATGCTGCTAGAGTTCAATACGTTTAGTTTAATTGTCACAGTACTGTACCATGCTGCTAGAGTTCAATACGTTTAGTTTAATTGTCACAGTACTGTACCATGCTGCTAGAGTTTAGTTTAAGTTTCGTTGCACATATGTAACTAATTAATAAGTTTCACTGTCAATTCATCTTCCATGTATCTTTAAAACGTATTTTGGATAATCAGTAACTGTGTAATAATGACATCAAAATCAATAAATATGACTTGCTTGTTCTTTCCATTGAACAAAAGTCAAAGCTTTTGTCACAGGAATTCTAATATCACATAATAACGGACAATCATAGAAAGTTCAACAAATACCCGTGCTTTGCTTTTAATAAATAAAACAAAACACTGGCAAACTAAACTATTCTATTTTTTCCCTTCCATTATTAATTTCTTCAACCAGTTTCGTGACTCCAAAGGTCACTCTTTCAGGATATAATTTTACTGACAGTCTATAACAAAAACATTTAAATACTGTTTTACAGCCAAACATAAATAAACCAAATTAAATACATATATTTTCCAAACACATGCTGCACTCCACATATAAACTAAGTATATTAAAAATGTATGAGTTGCATGGCTCTCGGAAGTTTCGCGTTAACTGTTATAATTATGGTCTTTTTTTCTTGACAGCGTGAATGTATTAGTGTTCACATTGGTCAAGCTGGTGTCCAGATTGGTAACTCGTGTTGGGAGCTCTACTGCCTCGAACATGGCATTCAACAAGACGGAAACATGCCCAGCGACAAAGCTCAGGGCTCTGACGACTCTTTTAACACGTTCTTTAGTGAAACAGGATCTGGAAAACACGTGCCTAGGGCAGTATTTGTAGACTTGGAACCGACGGTAGTCGGTAAGTATGTGTGTGAATCAAACTCGGCTCATCTGTTGGCAAACTTTAATCAATTATTGTTGAAGTTACGTTTACTTTTTCGAATGTAAGAACAACATGACTAATGACCTAATTCATGACGGCCCTGTTGTATTGGTAATTTCCAAGTAGGGCCATTTTTATTTCCTAAATTGTTACCACAAAACGCTAATTTTAAATTTTTGAGACACCTTTTGGCTGAGTTTTTTTACTTGGGTCCTCAGCATAATGGTGTTTTGTTTTAATATCAACTAGAAACTGTTGCAAGATGCTGTTCATTCCATGCAAAAATCAACTTAACTATATTAAATTACCTTAATTACAGATGAAGTCCGCACAGGATCATATCGTGCTCTTTACCACCCTGAACAATTGATCACTGGAAAGGAGGATGCTGCCAACAATTATGCTCGTGGACACTACACAATCGGTAAAGAAATCGTTGACCTAGTTCTGGACCGCATCAGAAAGTTGGCAGACAGCTGCACTGGACTTCAGGGTTTTCTAATCTTCCACAGTTTTGGAGGCGGTACTGGTTCTGGCTTCACATCCCTGCTCATGGAAAGGTTGTCTGTCGACTATGGAAAGAAATCCAAATTAGAGTTCTCTATCTACCCCGCTCCCCAGGTCGGTTGCTTTTCAAAGTTCTCTGCAAGATATGAATATTTTGTAAAACTATGTATACGCAATTTAAGCTTAAACAGTTGAATTAACTTTTCTCCGGTCTCCAATTAATATTAAAGTGAAATACAAACAATATATTTATCCTTCTAAAGTCTCAAGATTTTAATTGCATTTTTTAAATGTTAAAAGGTATCCACTGCTGTTGTTGAACCATACAACTCCATTTTGACTACTCACACCACTCTGGAACATTCTGATTGTGCTTTTATGGTAGATAATGAGGCTATATATGACATCTGTCGCCGTAACTTAGACATAGAACGACCAACTTACGTTAACCTTAATCGGCTCATCAGTCAAATCGTGTCTTCCATCACTGCTTCCTTACGTTTCGATGGTGCTTTAAACGTTGATTTGACGGAGTTCCAGACCAACTTGGTGCCATATCCCAGGTATTGTCAACAGCTTCTTTTCTCTTTTAGTTGTGTTTCAAAACACCAACCCTGGTCGTGCATTAAAAAAAAATCAACTCAATGTTTACACCTCAAAATAAATTTATATGTAATAGAACGATAGCTATAAGCACTGCGTTATTGATGGATCCTACTCTCATTCAATATATTCTTTTGGAAATACACTTCTGCTGTTCGTGTATGCAACAGGATACTTAAACTTTTGTTAGGCAATGAACACAAAATAATTGTACATATTCGATTAAACATCCACTTATTTTTCAGAATCCATTTCCCCTTGGTAACATATTCTCCTGTGATATCTGCTGAGAAAGCTTACCATGAACAGATCACAGTAGCTGAAATCACCAATGCCTGTTTCGAGCCAGCCAATCAGATGGTAAAGTGTGATCCCCGCCACGGCAAGTATATGGCTTGCTGTATGTTGTACAGAGGTGATGTTGTTCCGAAGGACGTCAACGCTGCCATTGCTGCCATCAAGACCAAGCGAACCATTCAATTCGTGGATTGGTGTCCAACTGGTTTTAAGGTTAGATCTTATTTAAATGTTTGCGCTCTTGATTATAAAATTTTGTTTTTTTTCAGGTTGAACATCAGGGGCCAAAATAAAATGATTTTATATTTTTATTATTTTCTATCATCGGTATCAAACCAGACATTCATTCTGTTTAGATTTAAGTAAATAGTGATGAGCTGTTTAATTCTAATTAAACATACGTATCTTTAAATGTCAATACTTCGATTTATATTGCCTTTTTATACTATGCTTTGTTATTATTGTAATGTTAACATTTAAATATGAGCAATATTTGATTTTGATATACAGGTTGGCATAAACTACCAACCCCCAACTGTTATTCCTGGTGGTGACTTGGCCAAGGTACCTCGTGCTGTGTGCATGTTGTCCAACACCACTGCAATCGCTGAGGCCTGGGCTCGTCTGGATCATAAGTTTGATCTGATGTACGCCAAGCGTGCTTTTGTCCACTGGTATGTTGGTGAAGGAATGGAAGAAGGAGAGTTCTCTGAGGCAAGAGAGGACTTGGCAGCTCTTGAGAAGGACTACGAGGAGGTTGGCATGGACTCTGCTGATGGTGTTGAAGATGAGGGAGAGGAGTATTAGATCACGATCACTAATTCTCTGATATGACGAAGAAGCAAACTTCAAGGGGCAGAACTTAAAATAAATCATGAAAGATATGAAATGAAAAATAAACACTTTCAAATTTCATTTGTGTCGTTAATTTTGTTTGATAGTTTAGACAAATTTCCTCGTCAACTGACATTCGTTAATCTGGGTACTTAGAACACCTATTTTGTAATAACAAAAGTATATTTTCCTTTAGATAACGGGTATTATTAAGAGCACATTTAAGCTGAGTTTAACTCGTAAAATACTAACTTTAATTGGGTTCAACAGAATGCTACCCATTAACGATGATATTAACCATTTTCCTACCATGTAAATTCTTATAGCATTTACTAGGACTAAAATAAAATCCGTCAAAATATTTTTTAAATTAAACTAATTTTATGATATAACACTAAAATCGGTAAGTAGTTATTACACAAAACTAGAATGTTATTTTTAAGAAAGATGAAGATTATTCCAGATGCACATTTTATTTACTGTGAGCATTCATACAGTGTATATTTTCAAAGTTATTTGACACCAAAAAGTTTTTTAATGCCAAAAAGTTTAGTGACAGCAGGCTCTTCAAGTTTTACATTCTATTTACACTCATTCCAGACATGGGTTATGCTTCATTTGGGGGTGGTATGATCATTTTTGATAGAAATGAAGAAGGGGTTTGATGTTATCGGCTATTTTTGTTTTTAAGGGTAACTATCATACCCACAACCAGCTATAGACTGAGTGGTAGTGGGACTGGGTAATATGGCCGCAGACGCTTTTATTTTAAAATATCTTTTTACATTGTTTCGTTAGTTTTACAGCCCGATCATGAATTTGTTGGCGCGTACAAGTGTAATAAAAGTGTTAAACTTTATTATATGAATACACGCACACAGTAGTATGAATAATGTTATTTTCCCCTAGAACTTTCATATACACATTGTATTTATATTAGTAACAGCAGTTGGTTCCATTTTACATTTAACAATCGTAATTTAACAAATTATTTCTAATCTGACTGGTAATATATGAAGAATTATTTGATGTACAATTAGCGTTCATGAGTAAGGTACGTTTGTTTGTGTTTGAAGTTAAGCACAAAGCTACACAATAGGCTATTTGTGCTCTGCCCACCACAGGTATCGAAACCCGGTATCTAGCGTTGTAAGTCTGCAGACATACAGCTGGGGGCAGTAAGGTACGAATAACAACAAATTCTGGACGAGCTCAAGTAAATACTGCGAGTGAAACTGGAGTGTTTGAAGACGTAGTTAAGTTCAGCGTACAAGATATACACTACGTTTTACTATAGAAACGTTACCGTTTCGTCAAAGAGGCCGATGTGCTAGGCCTTAACGAGAATATTAAAAGAAAACCATCTAAAAGAATTAATATACAATACAAAACGGATTTAAAACTATAACCTACGTTAAAAGTGAAGCTTTCTGATTAACAGTTTAAAACAGCTTACTGTATTATGATTTTGGTTTGGTATAAATGTTATTTTTATTGTATATTATTGATCGTAAACATAGTAAATCTGCGTTATTTTACACACAGAGAGATATATATGCTATGTTCACCGTAAAGAATCAAACCATGGGTTTAGCGTTGTAAGTCAGTAAACTCATTTACCGCTAACTGTAAAAAAAGGGGAGGCGTATGCAAAAATCTATGAAGGTATTGTTTGGTTTGAATTTCGCACAAAGCTACACGAGGGATTCTCAGCCAGATTTCCATGGTGTCGTCCATCTTCTTTCCAGGTAGCCGTTCCTAACTTAGCAGTGAAAGGCAGCTAGTCATCACCGCCAACTCTTGAGCTACTCTTTTACCAACGAATAGTGGACTGACCGTCACGTTATAACACCCCCCTCCGCTGAAAGGGCGAGCATGTTTGTGGGAAGGAACAGGGTAAATATGTTTGTGGTGTTTTTAAAAAAAAAAACGTTTAGATTTATAAAATAAAAACGTTATAGGAAAGTCTTAAAATATTGTACGAGAAAATAAAAATCAGTTATTAAAATCTGCAATAAATGTAGGCATTTTTAATTGTTTAAAACAACATCACAAAATATTTTCGAAAATATATGAAAATACAGTTTATTTGCAGAAGCTACATAATGTGTAGAAAATTCTTCAGTAGTTCCAAACTATTTAATACAAGCTTTTTTAACAATGTGATAAAACAAACCATACACCATGTGGGCCCGAGTTTAAGGAAAGGCTCGATAAATATGTAATTGATCAGGGCTGGACTTGAGTTTGTTTTTCCTTTCAAAGTTGGAAGGGGCATCCTTAATGGACCAACAGGCTTCTTGCCTACCTCAAATCGTCCCAAGGGTTAATGAGAATGATGGAGTGAATGAGTATTATCAATTATACAAGAAATTCAAAAGCAAAAAAAATCATTAGTTATCATCATTTCTTATAGTCGGTGTTTGATAAATACATTTATATTTTGTTTATTATATGTTGTATTCATTCTAGTTGTTGTTTGATGTATATTTAATGATATTAAAGAACTTTACATCTTAATTTAGTACTTTTTTGTCTTTTTTTCAAGGTGGGGTAAGTAAGGTCCTGGAAAAGGTTGAGAAGCACTGCCTTAAATGTTATGTTTATGTCTCAGCATACAACATACTAGTTTATAATAAACAAGTCTATTAAAAGTCTATATTTAATGATCCTGGAAAAGGTTGAGAAGCACTGCCTTAAATGTTATGTTTATGTCTCAGCATACTACATACTAGTTTATAATAAACAAGTCTATTAAAAGTCTTCACAGACATATAAAAAATATTTTAAACAACTTCAAATCTAATATCAAATCTTAAGAATATAAAACAACAAATTTAATGAAAAACTGTCCAATTGCTACATTTCATGCTTTAAAACAATAAACATATTAGAAGCAAGAAGGCAAATACTGTTTTCTTTATAATTTGTATACCAGTAATTCATTCATGCTCACTATTCAATATTTTATTTGTTTGAAGTTAAGCAGAAAGCTACACAATGGGCTATCTGTGCTCTGCCCTCCATGGGTATCGAAACACAGTTTCTATCACTAAGTTCACAGACATATCATTGTGCCACTGGGGGGGGGCCTACTTAATAGTTCTGAAAATTTTATTGGGAAGTCATGAGAGACAAGTATGATTTTGACTTTCCACAAGATCATTTATTCATTGATGTTATCCATATAAAAAAGAACAACAAAAACAACACATTTCTATATTTCAACCAAGGTAAAATCCAAGAAACAATGAATTGTCTAAAAAGAAAAATTAAAGTTTTTCCTTATCAATTGTAAACATCATATTTTTCATGTTAAGGTGCTAACAAAAACATTAATAAAACAAAGGTATATAACAAAATTTTTAAAAACAGTAAGTCATAAACATAAAATTCCCCATGCAAAATGGTAGAGAGTATTTTATAATTTATAAAAATAGTAAAAAATGTTATTTATGGCTTTAAAATATAATGGAAAAATAAAATTACTCCTTAGCAGAAATGTTACAAACTGAGGGAACAGTTTTTACTGCAAGAAAATTGTTGAAAAACAGTCAAAGACGCTACAAACAAACTTTGAACGTATTATTTATATCCTGAATCATAGTTAATTGTTAGTTTATATAAAAATCGAAAACATTTACAGCATGCACTAAATGCAGGGTCAAGGACACAACAGTGAAGATGATATTGTGCCTGCTATTTATATCAAACACAATTTGGTCTTACATAAAGGTAGAACAGGTAAAAGGACCAAAGAAACATTACAAAAAGCCCTTTAATAGCACAGGTTTCTAGACACACAGAACAATGTTGAACACTAACATAAACATATAGTTGATGACTGCTACTAATAATATAAAAATTGTATTAACGCTATAGGCACAAGTTTATTGAAGTGACTGAAAAATATAATAACTGTTTAGTGCTTCTATTCTCCATGTCATGGATTCCAGAAAGATTCATGAACTGGCAAAGAGGACATTTCCCACAATGCCTCAAATAAACAATACTTTTCTAAGCTTTTCACCCAACCCTTTAAAGAGTTTAATGAGAGAATCAAACACTTAAGTTTGTTGATAAGATACAAGTTGTTATACGAACAATAAAAATAATAATAAATGTAAACACAACAATAAAAATAAAAGGACTTTAAATGGTTTCTACAATCCCCAAACTTCGAGCATATGTTTTATAAATCCAATTAATATGGCTTTTTTCATCAACATTGATTTTAAGTTTTAGTATTAAACACAAGAATCTGCTGGTAGCTGATAAGCTTGTGGATTTTATCATCAAGTATATACTTTATAATGTAAAGTATTATTGCCAATGGTTATTTATTTTATGACTGGTGAACGTTTTTAGAATTTAGGTGTGTATTTGTGGAGGGAGGGATATGTAAAACTTTCAATACATATGACTTCAACTACAGGTTAGCACAAAGAAATTTCCCACAGTTAAATTATACATCATACTGAATATCACCAGGATAGTGAAAGTATGTATTTTATGCCAATTCATTGTATAAATATATCAGTTTGGTTTTAGTTTCAAAATTATGATTGACTTTTCCATGCAATAAAGAAACCTGAATATAAAACAGGTAATGAGGTAAACCACAATTGAAATCAATAACAATACATATCTTTCAGTTAGTGCACTTCGCTAAAAAACTTAACTCTCAAGGAATCGTCAAAGATGACTTTTTACATAATGTTATTTACAGTGGCAATAAACATTAACCATCAAATATTTACTTTAGTTTCTGCTCTAACACGAAAAATGGATAAATTTGAAAAATAAACAAGGAGTTTGAAACTCAATAACACTTTAACTTGGCAACAATACAAGTTACAATTGTAACAAGCAATACGAATGTCTTTTTTTAAAGTGAAACACATTTTCACTAAAACTAACAAGTTAAACTGGCTAAGTAAGTATCAGTATCATGTAAACCTGGATGAAGGATTCTTATACCTGGATTTAATATCCTACCACCTTTTCTTATGCTCATCCATGCTAACTCCCCCTGGACCCAAAGATACTACCATTAATAGTCCACCAATTACAGATAATGTTTGAAAGAAATCATACCTTAAAAAGTCAGCAAAGTGAGAATGGACTGACCACCAAGGATTTAGATAAATATTTAAAATTGTGAGCCAAATAACAAGGAAAAGAGCTGACAACTTGGTTTTGTAGCCAATGGTAACAAGTACCATTAAAGCAGAAGCAACAATGTTTTGGATAATCTGAATAAATGACACCTCAAATCTTAAAACTGTGATGAACATGAATACCAACAAAACTCGACCAGTAAGCTGCAGATAGTTTCGTGGTTTGTTATCTCCTAGGCTTGGCACTCCAGCGAAAAGACGCTTGCCTTCCACTCTGCTTTCAGCAAGGAGGAGTAAAAGAGCACCAATCAGAGAAAGACACCTGGATAAAAAGAGAACTTAAGGTGTTGTATCACATATTTCTCTTATTATGATATCTTTAGAGAATTATTTCAGTAAAGATTAAAAAATTGCTGGCAGATGTATCACATACACTACATTTAATAATCATAAAGAAAACCCAATATTTAAAACGATATCTTAAAAACTACTTGTTCTGGAAAGCAAGATTTTGCCAAAGGAGCACAGGGAATCAACTTATTTAGAAAAGTATGGAAATGGTAAAAGGTGCTTCAAACCTAGCAAACTTGTTCAATACTCTTAACCAGTATATCAATCTTATTCCTGAATTAAATTATTGCCAGTACTATTTGTTTTGGAGCATTCAATATTCTGCACAAACACTATCTATTTTGGAGAGTGTTAAATATCTTGTACATTTTACTAAAAATTGTTAATCTCAAACTGTTGAAAAAGTTAGTTTGAAATAAAAGCAAGTTACATATGCACTATAATGTAATTTTGAAACACTCTGTACTGTGTCCAACCTTTCCTGAATGAAACTTGTTTCTTTGTGAGACTGGTGAAATTTTGTTCTGGTACAAGTATTTTATTTAGGTATAATCATTTTAAGTATGAGTTTTCTCTATAATTACATATCAAGCCTGTGTTTATAAAATTCAACCTTTAAGACATTAATTTCACAATCTACATAAAAATATTTTAGAGTACAGAACAATTCAGTTCAGTTTTTTCTTTCTTTCTTTATACCTTCCAGCTTAGACACCTCACCATAAAAATCCATTAACTTATTCAAGTATACACACTAAAACAATAAAATAAAACTTCTTACTAATAATATACTATTACATGTAACATTGTTAATATACACAGAACAAAATCATTTCCACATCAAAAACATTGCTATTAGCTCATATCATCTCCAGTTGAAATATTCCTTTAATTTGAAAGATGTAACATTTTGATGTTTAAAGCAATGAGAGGGAAGTAAGGTTGTTTCTTGTCACAAAACCAACTGTAAAATCTCCTGAGCTTTCTTTGCCAGATAAGCTTGACACTTCTTGATAATGTGTTTGAGGTCATTAAAAGAAACGTTATTAAAATAAGAAATTCTTCCCAATCAGCTTCTTTTCAGAGGGTGTAGCATGATGGACTAATATACCGTGGTATTTGTACTGATCCATGATGCCACCAATTTTGGGAATATGGCCAAAACCATTTGCAGATATTGCACCCCAAGTCATTACAGAGCCTCCTACATGAATGACCCTTTAACAAGGATCCCCTTGTACAATCCTCATTTATTCTTCAGCAAACATATACACGTTGGTTAGAACCAAATAGTTCAATTTAGATCTGTCTGTCCAAAGCACTGTGTGCATCTCTTCCAGAGACCAGGATTTATGTTCTTTTTGCTATACTCTCTTTGCACAGTTTGGGCTTTCTTGCTGCTACTCTTCTCCAAAGGCCACATTTGTGCAGTGTTCTTGAGACAGTACTTCTAGAAACAACTCTCTGTATGTGACTTGTTAATGTCATCTGGAAGGTTTTCCAGGGAAGTAATTTTTAGATATCTAACTTCTCTTTCAGTGAGCCGTTTTCTCTGTTTCTTGCCTTGTCTGATGTTATAGAAATGGGTTTCTTTGCATTTGTTTCATGTGTACTTCACAATACTTGATGAACATACAAGGTCTTTTGTAAGTTTTCTTAAGTTCCAAAGAGATATCATGTAAATATTTGACTTCAACAAAATTCTCTCTGTTTTGACATTTCAATGACACCACCACATTATATTAATTTTACAAGACAATGTTTTTGAAATAAAAAAATTCTTGTATTCCTTCATGTAACTACAAAAAAAATTCAGGATGTAAAAAAATCTCACATTTTCGTCAAATATCACTGGAACAGAAACTGATGGCAATCATGTCTGACATTTCACTGCTTTGTATTCAGATATCTTGAACAACTTTTAAAACTCTACTACAGTTAATCATTTGTGGCTATGTGTTACTTTTATCTTAAAATTTTTGATTAATTAAATATGTAGCATAATAAAGTAATAGATAAAATGAGAAAAATCAGTAACTTGCTATCTTGATGCTTTTTCCAACAATTTAAACTACAAGGGTTTTATTTCATAAGCAAACAAATTAAAATTACAGAAGAAATAGGGTATTCTAATAAATTTGCATAATACCATCCAAAGGATCCTGCATTTTATTTGCTTTGGAACCTTGGGCTTCATGTTGTTTTTATTCATCAAGTTTGTGTTTTATAAGTATCAACTCTGTTGTATGTACAGATAAGGGTCCAACACAGCTAAAACTGGCCATAGAATAAAGAAGAACATACTCATTTTTAGGTAATGAATATTGCTTCATGAAATAAGCTATGCAGAAAACTAAAGATCGAACATGTGCAAAACACAAACTGAGAAACTTAACATTATCTACTAACACAAGCTATTATAAAATGAATGGCCATAGTGATGAGATCTGGTATGTTTGATTAAAATAAAAAAATTACATTCATGACACTGATACTACCTAATGCAGTCTCTTGTGGAACAAAAAAATGTAGTACAAAAATATTAAGATAATCAAAAATGTAGCCGAGAGTGGTTTCTTTTTTTGTCAGGCTTCATTTTATACTTTTGTCACTAAAAACATGATTATACTGCAAATTCATTTGACTAG